GTGGTGGTGGTGGAGGGCGGGTGCTATCAGGGCCAGCCCTGAACTCGCTGGACAGAGCTACAGACCCATGGGGCCTCGCAGTGCCCGCTGAGAGAGGGAGAAGACAGCAGAGGGGTTGCCAAGGTGAGGGGATGGCTCCGAGGATGGGAGGGTGGGCGGCCTCTGACCATCAGTGTGGGTGGGGGGCTGGGTTCTCAGGATCCTTCCCTGGGCGGAGTGGATGGTCCCCAAGAAATTGTTTCAGCTAGTGTTGGTAGCTGGTGGTGCTAGGTTTTGGCAGTTTCGAATCTCAGAGGAATCTGAGATGAGTACGGGCCCAGCACTCCCACGTCCCCCTCATGGGTCCCTTTCTCCACACCCTTGTCCCCGCACTTCCAGGGACCAGTAAAGGCAGAGAAAGGAGGGCAAGGTGGTGTCCTTCGGCCTGCTGGGTGTTTGTGTTGGGGAGGGGAGGGAAGTGGCTGCCCCTCCCTAGAAGGTTGATGCCAGAGGGCAGTGGGTCCTTGACAAACGTCTATCTCGTTGCCCCATCCAGGTTCCTGTTCAGGAACTGGGGGTGGTGAGCGAGCCCCAGATATAGACCTCATGGTGCCCCAGAGGAGGGGGAATTTCCCCCCTCAAAAGTACTCCATGCTTGGCTGCTGTAGACGCCGAGATTTCCCGGCGGCGCGGTGTTAACCCTCCTCGTGCTGAACTGGCTCCACCTCCTCGCACCCTCTCCCCGCCCCCACCGCCATATACACACATTGGGCAACTCAGAGAAGCTCTTTTGACTTTTGATCCTGTGGTCCCACGGTCAGAGGACTCGAGAATGTAGGGATTGAGGAGATAAGGTTTAGGCCACGAAGATGGTGATGAGAAGCCCGGACGTCGGGCTTTTCTTCCCGGTTGGGAAGGGAACACTGGCCCCACCCCCTTACTCTGTAGCTCCTCCGTTCCTTCCAGTCTTTAGGGGGTTTTAAGCCAAGGGTGCCCACGTCCTGGAAGGCCAATCCACCGAGCCTTGTTATTGGGTAGAGGTTGGGGAAAGTGTGGTCTCCTGACGTCTGGGGTTGCAACGGGGGAGGAGTTTTGAAGCCAGGGCCCGGCCAGGAGGCTGGTCACTCAACATGGGCATATAGAGAAAGTGGGGCTGCCTATGGATTAAGGATCTGCTCAGGCCTCCAAAGGGTAGGGGTAGAGGGTCAGAGGTCTGAGCACCAAGAGAAACAGGAGTGTAAGAGAGGAGATAGGAATGGAGTCCCTCCCTTGAATTTGAAACACAGACCAAAAGGTGCCCCATTCCAAAGTGGGGTCGAGAAAGGCCTATTGGAAGACCCTGAGCAGGAGCAGGGAGGATTCTGCTTTGGAGAGAAAAGGGTTGGGGGTGGGGACTGGGGCTGCAGGAAGGGGCAAGAAGACAAGAAGATTCTACTTTGGGGAGGAGAGGGAAGGATTGGAATTGGGGGAGAAGGTCTTGAAACAGGAGTCTCTAGAGAAAAGACTTCTCTGGTCTGCATCCTTTTGGGAGTCTTGGGAGAAGGGTGAGGCTAAAATCGCAACAAGAGGATTTGGGGTTACTAGGTTGAGGGAGACGCAGGGAGTTTCCAACCCCTTCCTCTCCCTCATCACTGGGAGAGGAACATTATGAGAAACATGAACCGAGAGACCCCTGGGAAACCACTGACTTATCCCCCACACCCTGCGGCCCACCCAGAAATGGGAACGCATTCTTCTCCCATCTCCATTTTTTCTCTCCCTCTTTTTTCTGTCTTTGGCCTTCTAGCCAAGCTTCTAGCTTCCTCTCCCCATCTTCTAGGCTCTTTGCCCTAAGTTAATTAACTCCACTTTTTTTCCATGCTCTCTCACTTTCTTGCTGAGTTCTCTCTACTTTCTCCTTCGCTCTATCTCCCCTTCTTCAGCTCTCCTCCCTCAGTCACGTTCCTCTTAGGATGATGAGATTTGGATCTGGAAGGGATCCTAACTGCACAACGTGTTAGTTAATCCCCACTCAAATTCAATCCTGATTCAAATCCTAATTTCCGAACTCCTTTGCTGAGTGGCTCTGGCAAGTTAGAGGACCCCCTTGAATCAGTTTCTTGATCTATGAAAGGGGATAATTATATATTTTAAAAATTGTTGCGAGGCTCCGATGAGATAATGTGCTTAGTGTAATGCCTCGTACATAGTAAGTGCTTAATAAATGGTAGCTATTATTGCTCTACCATCCTCTTCATCATTTAGCTGGCTAGTTTTCAAATTATCTCACGGAGACTTGGAATTTTAAGGGACACCTCTGGGGTCAGGAGGTGGGGAGAGGTGAGTGGAAGCAGTGGACTTCCAGGCTACTTGTATACCTTTTATATAATTGGGATTCCACAGATTAAAACTAAAAATGTCTACTGCTTTAAAAAGTTTGGAAAGTTCTGCACATACCCAAGCCTCATATTTTACAGAGGAGAAGATTGAGTCCTGCAGAGAAGAGGTTCCTTGCCCACAGAACCAGGACTAGGTCTAGAGCTGCGACCCAAGTCCTCTGCCTTCTCTCAGAGAGCTTTCCCTGTTGCCTGATGTCCCCTGTCTCCCTACCCCTATGGCTGTAGCTCAGCTCTTCCCACCCATAATCCCTGTGGTTACCACTGAAAGGATCACCTTGTCTCAGACACTGACCAAAGGTGTCCCTGGTTTGATGTGGTCTGCCTGTGAATGGTGGGATGGTATCTGGGAGGACTGTCTATAGGAGGTCCCTGGCTGCCCCAGAACATAGGCCGCCTTTCTTGGGCACATCTTAGAGTAGCCGTTCCTTTCTTCCAGGTGCCCTCCAAACCCCAGATCATGTCTCTTTGGGGCCTGGTCTCCCAGATGCCCCCAGAAAAACTGCAGCGGCTCTATGTGGACTTTCCCCATCACCTGCGGCACCTCCTGGGTGAATGGCTGGAGAACCAGCCCTGGTGAGTCCTGGCTGCCCCACGCTGATCCCCCAGGTCCTCCCCAACACTTTCCTTTTCATTAAATTTTTCTGCTCCATTTTGGGTCTTGGGATCCATTATTCTATGCAAGGTGGCATAGATTTAGCAGGGAGTCTGTGTGGAATCAATCAAGACTATGGATGTTGACACATGGAGTCCCCCATCATGCCCTTAGGAGGCTGAACCAAAGAGGAGGGAGGTCAGGGCTGGGGCAAGGGCCCTTCGCATCACAGCTGGGAGACTGTGGAACAAGGGGCATGATGAGGGCTGCAGAGAGTCTGGATGGAGAATAGGAGGGAAGGAGCTGCTGAGCTGTTTGCTGTGAGGTGGAGGGTCAGCAGAGCTCAGGAAGCACTGACTCAAGGCCACCTCATTCTGATCTTCCCACAGGGAGTTCCTGGTCGGCTCAGATGCCTTCTGCTCCAACATGGCCAGCACCTTACTTTCTGCCACTGTCCAGCACCTTCAGGCCTCTGCCAGAAAGCAGGGCGAGGGGAGTGCCATCTTGCAGCACATCAGCACCCTGGAGGTGGGGGCAGGAGAGGAGAGGACAAGGCTGGAGTGGGGTTGGAGTGGAGCTGGGGTGAACGTTGGGTGCTGGAAGGAAATTGGTTGGATGTTTGAAGCAAACTGGTGTTCCCATGGTTAGCTGTTAGCTAGCATGCAAATTAGATTTTAAAAGCATGCAAATGCATGAAAACTTCTGGAGTTTATAGTTGTGTTTCAGTGCATGTGTAAATTGGAGCATGGGGTGGGGGCATTGAAGGGGGGAGACTGGGGGAGGCTGACATGTGTAAGAGCCAGGCTAACCCTGTCCACCACCCTTCATTTCTATAGAGCATATATCAGAGGGACCCTCTGAAGCTGGTGGCCACTTTCAGACAAATACTTCAAGGGGAGAAAAAAACTGTTATGGAGCAGGTATTGTGATACCCCATCTCCCATTTCAACTCAACTCCTTGGAACTTGAGCCATGAGAAACTAGAAGGAATTTGAACTTCAGAAAAGGCGAAGTGTTCTAGGCCCAAGATGAACAAAGGAGGTTCTAGAGTCAGAGTGAACCCCAAGCCAAGCTCAGGGAGGCTTCAAATGAAGGACCAACGGTAGCGAGTCCTGGGGAGGCGAACAGAAAGAGCTGATTCTGCCAGGAGAGAGATCTTATCTCTGGAAGATTCCGAAAAGTTAGGAAGAACAGTCAGAGGGGAAGTCCAGGGAGGTGACATGGCAGCAGGCACCCCTTTTAGGGAGCAGAGGCTTAGTGGAGAGGAATGGGCAGAGTATTACTTGGTGTATGTCCCTCCTGTGCAGTTCCGCCACCTGCCAATGTCCTTCCACTGGAAGCAGGAGGAACTCAAGTTTAACACAGCCCTGCAGAGTCTGCAGCACCGAGTGGGGGAAATCTGCGTTCTCCGAGAAGCCATGAAGCAAGGGGCTGAGGCTGGCCAAGGTGGGAACCTGGGCCTGGAGCCCTAACGGGGTTCTGGGGAGTGTGTGGGAGTGATCTTCTTTTGGACCACAACCTTGACTGAATTTCAAGTCTATCTGCACTCCTGATTTCTGCCCCTACCCCTCAGTGTCTCTGCACAGCTTGATGGAAACTCCTGCCAATGAGACTGGGCCAAGTGAGGTGAGTAATGGACTGAGAGGTGAGGATTGAGCTCCAAGTGTGATCTTTGAGAGATCTCAAATCTGTGGAGGGATGGAGATTAGACCTCAGAGAGACAGACTGAGGTGGGGTAAGGGAATGCCAGAGAGGTGAGAAAGACAGCCCTATCCTCAGGAGCTCGGTGAGGAGGCAGTGTGTGGTCTTGGCTTAGGCCTTCCCTGCCCGTAGGCCCTGGCCACGTTGCTGCAGGAGACTGTCGGGGAGCTGGAGGCTGTCCAGGCCCTGGTGCTGAAGAGGATCCAGATTTGGAAACGGCAGCAGCAGCTGGCAGGGAATGGTGCACCCTTTGATGAGAGCATGATCCCACTACAGGAGAGGTTGGGGCAGGGCTGACGGGGAAGGGAGTGGCCTCAGGGTGGGCACCTGCTATCTCTGTTTGAGGAACCACAGGTGTGAGAAAGGAAAAACCAGGCAACAGGGCGTGGAGTGGGCCGAGACTCAGAGGAGCCAGTCCCAGCAAATCTGTGTACACTGTTCAGGTTGCCTCCTGTATAAGTACGCCCACCCAAGGGGGCAAAAGAGGGACTTCCTCTAACCAACACTTTTTGTTTCAAGTCCCGTGCCCAGAAGAATGGGAAGCCTTTTTCTATTTGGCCTATTGGGCAGGGCCCCTTTCAATTTGTGCAAAAGTACCATACACGCTGGCAGCTGACCTAGGTATCAGAGCCCTGGGGAGAGAGGCAGCTGGGTTCCACAGGGGGTCCAGGCACTGAGAACCTCTCACCCAGAGGCAAGGGGGATCCCAGAACTCCTTTAGCCCAGGTGCCTTGCAGCCACACCCACTGCCCATCCCACCCCTCCACATCCACTATCCTGCTTTCTTCTTGGGTTTAGGGGCAGGGCATCTGGGCTGGAGTAGGTAGCCTGAATCCTGTGCCCCCTGACCACTGTCTTGCCCCCAGATGTGAGAGCCTGGTGGACATTTATTCCCAGCTACAGCAGGAGGTGGGGGCAGCTGGTGGGGAGCTTGAGCCTAAGACCCATGCAGCGCTGCTTAACCGGCTGGATGAAGTCCTGCGAACTCTTGTCAGCAGGTATGTCCTGTGAGCCCCTAGCCCAGCCTAGAACAGACCCCAAGGAAAGAAAAGGGTGAGATCTGTGGAGAGGGCACCAGGAGGGACCCAGCCGCTAACTTCCCTTTTGTCCTCACTCCTCTCAGCTCTTTCCTGGTGGAGAAGCAGCCGCCCCAGGTTCTAAAAACTCAGACCAAGTTCCAGGCCGGGGTTCGATTTCTGCTGGGCCTACGGTTCCTGGGGTCCCCAGCCAAGTTTCCGCTGGTCAGGGCTGACATGGTGACCGAGAAGCAGGCGAGGGAGCTGAGCATGCCCCAGGGACCCGGGACTGGAGCGTAAGCCTGGGTTGGAGAAGGCCTGTTGGGGTGGAGGAGGCCAGAGGAGCCTGGGGGACTGACACCTCCGAGAGCCGTGTGATGGAGAGGGAGGGCAATGGGATGAATGATCGAGGCAGAGGAAGGGGAGAGACCCATCAGTGCTGGAGTGGAATGGGGGCATCATGATTTGGACAAGATGGGATGCCTCCCGTAAGAACCCTGGTGGGGAGATGAAGATTTGGAGCCAGAAGTCCACGCCATTCACCCATGGACTCAAGTTCTTCCCCACACGTGGTCAAGCCTGCTCACTCTCTGATCTCCCCTGGCAGAGAAAGCACTGGGGAAATCACCAACAACACTGTGCCCCTCGAGAACAGTGTTTCTGGGAACTGCTGCTCTGCCCTGTTCAAGAACCTGGTGAGGACTTCAGGGAGCAGTAGGCGGGGAGGGAGTAGGGGTCCTCAGACCATGGGATTCTCCTTGGAGAGGGTGTCAGGAACCCAGGAGTCTGTCCTTACTCCTGCTGTCCCTCACTCCACCCTGCAGCTTCTGAAGAAAATCAAGCGGTGTGAGCGGAAGGGCACTGAATCTGTCACCGAGGAGAAGTGTGCTGTGCTCTTCTCCACCAGCTTCACACTTGGCTCCAACAAACTCCCCATCCAGCTCCAGGTGAGCCAGGTCCCCAGCCCTGCCCAGTCTGGGGTCCCAGGTCCCCTCCATGCCACACACTGGGGCCCTGGGTCCTAACTCTTTCTTCGTGACTGCCCCATACTCTGTGTGTCTGGGACTTATACATGCTGGGGCCAGGGTGAGCAGAGAGGAAAAGGAACACAGAGTGCGTAGGCCAGGGAATAACAGTGTAGTAGCAACAAGCACCTTTTTATAGACCAGGGCACTGTTTTAAGGGACACACTCACACACAGTTCTTACAGTAACCAGGAGGGTATTATTACTAGCCTCATTTTATAGATGAGGCCATTGAGACACAGAGATTGAGTAATTTACCCAGGTCACATGGCTACTAAGTGTCGAAGCTGGCTTTTGAAACCTGGAGTTCTGGCTCCATAGCACTGACTCAACCACTTCTCTACAGTAAGGCCCTAATTGAGCTTCAGAAAGCGTTTGATAACATACCATGAGCTTTTTGTTGTGCGAGTCCAACAGCTTCCCCCTCAGAACCAGTCCCCTGAGGAAGCCCCTTGCCCCAGTAACAACCACCCCCTCTCTTGACCTCCTTTAGGCCCTATCTCTGCCCCTGGTGGTCATCGTCCATGGCAACCAAGATAACAATGCCAAAGCCACCATCTTGTGGGACAATGCCTTCTCTGAGATGGTGAGGAAAGATCTGGAATGGCAGGGACAAGAGCAGGGTGGGCTCTAACATGGGGTGTGGGGTACAGGCTGATTGGTTGGCAGGCATGTTCAGATGAGAGTCATCTTAACTTCTCCTCATGGACTTGCTTTCGTACTTGTGAACTCTTTTCATACCAGTCTTAACTATCATGTCATAGCACCCTAAAGTACTTTTGGAAAAGCACCATCTTTGTGAGCAAGTTCAAGGGGACAGTGCTTGGGAGGGACAGCCTTGGGGAGGTGGGAAGAATGAAGGCCCCTGCCGAGGAAGAATGGGGGTGATAGCCTAAGGCACCTTCTCATTCCTCTTTTATCCTAGGACCGTGTCCCCTTTGTGGTGGCTGAGCGGGTGCCCTGGGAGAAGATGTGTGAAACTCTGAACCTCAAGTTTATGGCTGAAGTGGGGACCAACCGGGGACTACTCCCAGAGCACTTTCTCTTCTTAGCCCAGAAGATCTTCAATGACAACAGCCTCAGCATAGAGGCCTTCCAACACCGTTCTGTGTCCTGGTCACAGTTCAACAAGGTTATTCCCCTGCCCTGTGGGCCTCCCATTCCCAAGCTCTTCATCCCTGGGACACTCAGAGCCTCCCCAACCTCTGCCCAGGGACCGACTGCTGGGCTCTTCACCATGCCCCATCATGTCCATCAGGAAGGCCTCTGTTAGGGAAGGCCCAGGCAGGAAAACCTCTCAGCTTGGGGGTCAGCCCAGAGGATGTGTTCTCAGGCATCCCTCAGGTTTTGGTCTGGGGGCCCTCTGTCCTCCTGCTTTACTAGTAAGTTGTATGACTCATTCAGATTGTGTGTAAACACAGCTCTGATGGAAAATGACTTTGACTAATTAGGAAAATAGTTCCTAATGCAAAAACTGAATGAAATCCCACAGGGACATATACCAGTAATACCAATAAACATGTGTTGACAGCTTACTATATGCCAGGTGCTATGCTTAGCACTTTATATAAGTAATCTCATTTAATCTTCCCAACCTCCCTTCGAGGTGGGTGCATTAGTATCCCCATTTTACAGATGAGGAACCTAATGTTCAGAGGGGTTAGTTTATCCAAGGCCAGCAAGTGAGTGGCAAGGCTAGGATGGAACCCCATATTTCTGACTCTTGCTCTTAGCTACTATATTTTACTCCTTCCAAAATCATAAAATGGCTCAGAACTGGGTCTATTACAAGAACAAGAAAATCTGGGTGTCTTGGTTGACCACCAGCTGGGTAAATATAGTCATGTACTGTTCTCTTAGAAAAAAGGAAGAAAGAAAAGCCCACATGACCAGAGGATGTGTTAGCAAACAGCACACTTACATGTGGCAGCTGCCTTCTCTGGACTCCACCTCCATCAGGCCCCATTAGGGATGGGTGGAGCACAGTGGTTATGAGGGGTCCCAGCCCACACCATCTAGGCTAAATCCCAGCTCTGCCTCTCACCAGCTGTGTGGACCTGGGCAAGTTGTTTGACCTTTCTAATCTTCCATTTCTTTATCTCATAAATGGATGGGATAGTTTTAGAAACTATCTTCATAGCCTTGTAAAGATCAGATAAATTAATTTGTGGAAAGGGCTTAGAATAATGTCTGGCACACGGTAAATGTGAGTGTTGTCATTGATGGGGTCTCAGATCTAGTGTGGTCTCTTAACCCTGTAACTCTGTCATGTGGGCACTCACAGCTCAGTGCCTGCCCTAACCAAGATCCAGCTCTGGCCCTTTCATGCTCCCTCTCCCCCCACAGGAGATCCTGCTGGGTCGTGGCTTCACGTTTTGGCAGTGGTTTGATGGTGTCCTGGACCTCACCAAACGCTGTCTAAAAAGCTACTGGTCAGATCGGTGAGTCTCTGTCCCAGGTGGCCTGAGTAGCTACACCTCCAGCTCCCTCTCCACCTCCAATGCCTCCAATCCCATCTTCTCCTTCACCCTGGTTAGGCTGATCATTGGCTTCATCAGTAAACAGTACGTCACCAGCCTTCTTCTCAACGAGCCTGATGGAACCTTCCTCCTTCGCTTCAGTGATTCAGAGATTGGAGGCATCACCATTGCCCATGTCATCCGGGGCCAGGATGGTGAGGTCACCCCTGCCAGTCCTCTGTTCCTGTGCCTACACCCCCTGGAGTTTCTCCTGGCAAGGAAATGTTCTGGTTTCCTTGATGCCGACCCTGGTCTTCAGAAAGTTCTTCCTTAGGTCCAACTTCATTTCTTCCTTCTGTGGTCTAAAATTCTACCTTCTCACTGTGAGCTCTGTGGGGATGGACATTGGTGGGTCTCTTCCCCCAATACCCCCACCTGAAGTCCTCTCCCGCTTGCCTTGGTAGATTGAGAATGAGTTCTGTGTCAGGGCTGGGGAAGGGGAAGAAAATCTGGAGAGAGAGAACTCAGGGTCTCATTCCTATCATAGGCTCCCCACAGATAGAGAACATCCAGCCATTCTCCGCCAAAGACCTGTCCATTCGCTCACTGGGAGACCGGATTCGGGACCTTGCTCAGCTCAAAAATCTCTACCCCAAGAAACCTAAGGACGAGGCTTTCCGGAGCCACTACAAGCGTGAGCTGGAGCTGGCGGTTCTGACTGCTTCCTGACTTCCACCTCCTCCCTGCTCCCAGCTGCCCCCTCCTTACCCACTGTGTGTCATCCTTGACTTCTCTCTCCATTTTTGTAGACCCACTTCTCCTACTTGCCCATTAGCCATGCCTTCCTCTCCTACCTCCCCTCCTTCCTAACCCTCAAGCACTTCACAGTTCTCCTTTCCTCCCCACAACAGATGAACAAATAGGTAAGGATGGCAGGGGTTACGTCCCAGCTACAATCAAGATGACTGTGGAAAGGTATGGTGGTGGGGATGATGGGTGGGGCCTGGTACTTACTTGCAGGAAGGGGTGGTGGCATCAACGCTTGGTCAGTCACACGTGCCTCCTTCCCTCCTCTAGGGACCAGCCACTTCCCACCCCAGAGCCCCAAATGCCTACCATGGTACCCACTTATGATCTTGGAATGGCCCCTGACTCCATGACCATGCAGCTTGGACCAGACATGGTGTAAGGAGCTTGAGAGATGGAAATGGGAATGGTCTGTGCAGGCGGGCTTTCAGCATGGGCAGCTGGAGGAGCTGGCACTGGGGGCTGAAGGGAATTTTCGTTTCCATGAAAGGGATTCCCCATCCTGAAGCAGGAGTTAGGGGTATCCAAGAGAAGGGCTGGCATCAGGGGGTCCTGCTTTCTTTCCCCAGGCCCCAGGTGTATCCACAACACTCTCACTCCATCCCCTCATATCCAGCCCTCCCACGAGAAGAATCGGTCAATGTGTTGCCAGCCTTCCAGGAGTAAGTGAAAAACCTCTTGGGGATGGGCTGGGCATTCGCATGTTAGGAGAGGCTCTTCTGTGAGAGAGGGGCAACAAAAAGGTTTCTCTCTTTTGTCCACTCCAATAAGACCCAGACTTCCCTAGGTTCGAATTCCAGCTCCACTGCTTACTGACTTTGGACAAGTTACTTAACTCTGGCGCCTCAACTACAATATGGAAAAAACAAAAACAAAAAACCACCTTCGTCATAGGATTATTGTAAAGGATAAATGAGTTAGTATGTGTAAAGCTGAACTTACTACCTGGCTCATAGCAATAGCTATGTAAGGATTAAGATGAGGAACCTAATGTTCAGAGGAGTTAGTTTGTCCAAGGCCTCCCAGCAAGTGAGTGGCATGGCTGGGATGGAACCCCATATTTAGTATTCTCTCTCCTGCTCCTGGAATCCAAGGCCACTTATCTACTGACTTTATTTTTGTTTCGGCCTTGAAGTGGTCGAGGCGTGACATCTCCCCTACCAGGAGTTAAGGTGGAGGATTTAGAACCACCAAAGTAACACAAAAAATTAGCTAATCCAGCCTTTTCCACCCCATCCTCTCCAAGTCCTCAACTCACACTTTACAGATGGGAAGACTAAGCTCACGTGGTAGGGATGGCTTGCCCAAGGCTATGTAGTTGGGAAAAGAAACCAGAAATTCTGTTTCCTTACTCAAGTGTTCTTGATTTTGCAATACCTTGCTCTCACCCAGCCTTCCTTTCTGACTGTGTTCTCCTTCCTGCTTCCAGACCTCACCTGCAGATGCCCTTGAGCCTGCCCTTTGACCAGCCTCACCCCCAGTGAGTGACAGTCTCCATCCTGATCCAATGCACCCCATTGATTCCTAGCCTCACCCCACCCCCAACATCTTATTCACTTTTCTGGTCCCAGCAGGACCCTGCTGCCGTGCCAGCCTCAGGAGCATGCCATGTCCAGCCCTGAGCCCCTGCTCTGCCAAGATGTGACCATGGCGGAAGAGAGCTGCCTGAGCCAGCCAGTGAGAGGGTTCCCTCAGAGCACTTGGTGAGTGGCGGCCTGGGGGTGGTGGCTGAGTGGAGTCTAGAAGAGTGGGTGTCATGCCTTTCTTTCTCCTTCCTCCTCGCAGGGTTGGTGAAGATATGTTCCCACCCTTGCTGCCTCCCACTGAACAAGACATCACCAAGCTTCTCCTGGAGGGGCAAGGGGAATCAGGGGGAGGATCCTTGGGAGCCCAGCCCCTCCTGCAGCCCTCCCCCTATGGGCAGTCGGGGATCTCAATGTCCCACCTGGACCTAAGGGCCAACCCTAGTTGGTGATCCTAGCTGGAGAGGGAGCTCAGAGAGAGAGCTCTTCTACCCCTGTGGACCTGCTCTGGATACCTGCCTATGCTCCTGTCAAACAACAGATGGGAGGGTGTCTTCCTTTCCCCACCACTCCCTGGTCAGGAGAAAAAGACTGCCCAGAAAAGGCTCAGTGGATAGAGCCTATCCACGCCTTCCCTCCTATCACACACCCGTCCCCTCCCTTAGCTGAAAAAGAAATTCAAGTTCTAAAGTGAGACACGCCCCAGCATGCCTGCACATGCAGCACATACACACAGCTCTACTTGGGAGATGGGGCTGAGCAGGAAGGGGGCTGGGCAAAAACACAGGTTAAGTAGGGCATGGAGGGCTGCTCCTTCCACCCCCAGCCAGGACCCGGAATGCACATGCAGAAACACACAGATACATGCAGACACTTGCACTAGGGCCTAGGGATGGGGGGATGGCCTTGGGTCCCAGCCTTGGGGGGAATAAAGTAGTTCAGGAGATCCTGGGTGGGAGAAGAGGGGCCTGTATAATTTGGTTACCGATGTGGGTTTTGCCCAGATTAAAAAAACAAATCCCAACCGGCTCCAGATTCCCGTCAGAGGCTTTCGGTTGTGTATGAGATGGTTCAGAAATACACGGGCCAAGTTTCTCGGTGTATAGCTGCGTGAAAGGGTGTGTACCTGAGACATGTTAACATATAGATGTCACATACATTAGTCATTATTGCCATATAGAACATCTACCTGATTTTGCCTACGTAACAACCTAAGTTTTGAAGTGTGAGACACTGCACAAAAGACACGGACAAACATGCTGGTCTAATGCATGCTAACCCAGATGTACTCAGCTTTGAGTATGAGTGTGCTCAGGTTGGTCCATGTGCCTGTAACATCTGCATATGGCTGTAGCTTTGGTGCGTCAACACTGCCAATCCCACCAAAGACGGGTGTGAGTAGGGGGCAGACCCAGGTGTGTGGTTCTCTCCATGTATTACGGGCCCTCCCCTGCTGCTTCCTTTCTATTTCCCCAGCCACAGCCAGTTTTCCTACACTCCTCCATCCTATGCCACCCCTTCTCCCTCTTGGGGGTCATAGATCCTAAGCCATAAAATAAATTTTATTCCAAAATAACAAAATAAATAATCTACTGTACACAATCTGAAAAGAAAGACGCTCTAACTGCTCGAACAGGTGCTGCGGTCTAGCCCCCAGCTGAGGGAGATACTGAAGGAGACACTGAGTCCAACCCAGGTCTCCTATGGGGACCAACGAAGGGGACCCCATATCCACCACCCCTCCCCCCACCGAGAGGGCAGTGCAGGAGGAAAAGAACTGCTGAGGACTTAGGGGAAAGATGGGGATGGGTGGGTAAACTGCAGCACTCGTTAAATTAAAGAAACAAACTAGAAGCACAAAAATGGGGGAACAGAGGAGATGAGGAACAGGTCCAGTGTTCCCAGGTCCCCACTTCTGGGGAGAAACGCTTCCATTTTCAGCCGCTGGACCTTCCCAGGGAAGTCTCCCTTTCCCCCATGTCCAAACTGAATCCAACTTCTCACACTACTGGTTCAAACTAGAGAGAATGGGAGTGTGTTGTATGAGGGAGGGGAGGATCCCAGATGCTCTGGAGGCAGTCCTTGCCCCGCGCTCTGGGCAAGGGTGTAGGGCAGCACACACTCTCCTTGCGTCCTCTCGCCAGGCCCTTGCTCGTTATTGCTTAAAAGCCCCATAGTCCTGCGCCCATGGAGCAGGTGGGGAGGCAGGAGAAGGGCAGCGGAACCATCCAGGGTTGTGACTAGATGCCAGGGATCGAGATTATAGGGATCTGTGGGAGCCAGAAGTCCGGGGACCTGGGTCTGAAGACACCAGTCCACCCCTCACTGCCGACTGGCCTCAGCCTCCACTTTCACACTGCTCCTGCGACCTTCCACCAGAGCTGGATGGGTTCCTGGGGCAGGGCATCTGTCCAGTAGCCCTTCCTCGAACTCTGTAGGAAGAAGTGGTAGGTTAGGGGGGCGTGATGCTGCAGACAGAGGTGGCTGAGAACAGAGGCAGGGGTAGAAAAGGCAGCAAAGATGAGCTTGATTTACTGCGTTACTGACTCTTGCCCACTGTGTGTATTTGGAGGGGGTTCCATATCCAAGTGTATGCACCCCCTCCTCTTTCTGGCTGTGCGTAGCTAGCTCTCTATCTCTGTATATGTCTCTCTTTCTCTGTCTCTCCCGCCTCCGCTCTGCTGGAATTTCTGGTTCTGTCAGGAGCTGTGGGGGCGACTTGGCTCTGACCTCTCCCCCTCCCCCCTTTCCAGGCTTTGCCACCCCCACTCGGCTCTGGCCCCCTCCCAGGCCCCACCCACCAAACCATGCCCCCCAAGTTTCTTAGAAGCCAAGTCAGGGGGAACACAGGAAGCCAGCCTCCCAGCTCCTCCCCCAAGAGCCCCCTTCCAGTCCCCGCCCCCACTTCTCACCCACGCACAGTTTAAAAATACCAAGCCAAGGTTGGTGGCTTTGTCTGCTGCGTCACTCTCAGCCCAGCCGCTGCCTAGCCCTCTGCTGGCCTACTCCCCCTTTCCTCATCCATACACAAAGCATCCCCCTTTGGGCTCCTCCACTTCCAGGCTAGGCAGCCCCACCGCAACTCTGCCTGCTCTACTCTCCTGCATTAGTAGAAGTTCTCGTCAAGCTTCCCTCCCTGGTGACCCTCCTCCTGCTCTCTCCTTCATCCCCTCTTCTCTGTCTTCCTACTCACCCTAGCTCTCCCTTCACGGATTTCTGTTAAGGTCAGACCCTGCCCTGTAGGAACAGTCCTGCAAGGTCCTCCTCTTCTCAACCCAAGTCCTGGTTAGCAGGGTCCCCACCATTCTACTGCCCTGCTGACTACAGCCCTCTTCCTCTCACTTGGCCTCAATACACCAAAATTGCTACATACGGCCTGGGTAGTGGGTGTGCTTAGGGACAGCACTGCTGGCTGCCTCACCTGCAAGAGGCGGCTTTGCAGGCACACAGGGGCTGAGGCGGCCCACGCGGTCTCGGTCATGGGAGACGAGGCGGGCTAGCCGCAGCCCCTCATCCATCAGTGTCTGCTGCAGGATATGGCGGCTCCACAGCCCATGGGCTGGCAATGCCAGAGGCAGGTCAGCAGGGGGCGGCGTCAGCCTTGGGCATGACCCCACAGCTGTGGGCATGGGCACTGGTCAGGTAAGGGACTACAGTCAACAGAACCCCCACCCTCAACCACACAGCCATACCCATAGGTCCAGGCCTTTTTACTCCCAACCAGCCAGGTCTCCCAACCCTGTTCCAGGCAGTTTGCCTCCTGGCTCCCTCCTCCCATGCCTTCCAACCACTCCACCCCCGAAAAGAGGGAAGTGTTTTGATGTACACTCACCCTGCAAATGTCCGTCTAGACTCTCGCCGGACAGGCTGGCGCTGTCTTCCTCCAGGCTGGGGCGGTATGGGGGTGCATAGGACTCAGGGCCTGGAGGAGGCTGCTGGATTTCAGAGTGACTTTGTTCTCCAACCTGTAAATACCCCAAATGGGGAAATGACGACCTAGCAAGAGAGGGGACTGGGGAAGGCTGCCCTAACCTCCTACATGCACCCTGGAAAACCCACCTCCTGTTTCAGCTTCTTCAGTGGGGGGCCTCCCAATTCTTCAGGGTGGAGCCTGCAAAGATAGAGAAAAATTAGGAGGATGAGGCTGAGGAAGAACATATTATAGAGAGGGCACATAATCTGGTATGCATTATTTCAAGACCCTAGAAAGAAGCTGGCTGAGCAGGAGTCAAGCACTATTATTGGCGGGGGGGGGGGGGAGGGGGGGGGTGGTGTCAGAGAGCATCTGAGATGGATGGGAGAAGGAACCAGACCCCCAGAAAAGTGAATTTCACCAAAGGCAGGACATGCAAGTGGGTGGGAAGCAGGCCTGGAGGCACTGGAACTGGAGATTAGCACGTGACCCAGCTCCTTGGCAGGATTCTAATCTAGGAAGAACCTGGAGAAGGAAATCTCACCTGGATCCCTTCAATGAGGACAAATAGGTGCTCTCTCGGGCTACTTGTCGTGACAAGGAGAAGAGCTCTACCCTTCGCAGTAAGAGTGTGTTGTCCCTCATGCAGAACTGGGCAGCAGCCTCATTGATGGTGAGCTGTGGAAAGGACCACCAGAGCAGTCAGTATCCTAACTCCCCACTGCCTTGCCCAGACCTCCTCCTAACTTTTCACCATCAGACAAATGAGGCCCACCCATCAGATGGCTGTTTGGGTTTTGACACTACGTAGGAGCTTTCTGAGGGAGGAAGACAGAAGTCAGCACCCACAGCTTCCTAGGAATGCCTGAGGGCTCCTCCACTCCTGTGGAGTCCTGAGCAGCATGGAGCTGGATAGGTGGGCTCTCTGCTACCTCCTCAGTTGAAGAGGGAAGCACTGTAGTAGTTAGGTTTGGGGTGAGGGGATCAGGCTGGGGTTCTGGTCAAGGAGTAATGAAACAGACTTGGGGAGTGTGAAGACTCACAGGTGAGTAGGTTGAGGCCTGGGAGCCAAGAGCAATCCTGGGAGGGTAGGGTCCTCACCTCATGCAGGCTGAGCTGCTTGCCCTCCCGCCGCTTAGAGTCAAAGCGGCCATAGATGATGCTGTATTTGCGGATCTCCTCCTCCTTCTGGCTGTCATTATCATCCATCTCAAAGATGTGCCCAACACTCCGTGCCAGCTTCTTGTTCAGCTTCAGCAGGGACGTAACCTCCCCAGCATCCCCTCTCGGGAAGCTCCTGAAGATCCTTTCCACACTCTCCACCACCATTCGTACCATTTCTGGCTCCAGTCTCTCTGGACTACCCCCAGCCCCAGTTGCTGTCAAACTCCCAGCCCCATTCCCCTCAGGGACTCCACCCCCTGCAGGTGGGGAGAAGGGGGGTGAGCCAGCCTCCTCTTCTCCTCCTGCCCCAACATCAGACTCTGGAGTGCTCCGACCTGGCCAAATTCGGGCGTCCCCTGCCCCAGGTCCCCCAGGCAGTGGTGACAGTTTCTCTCCAAGTTCAAGGGGGCTCTTGGGGCTAAAACTGCGAGCACTGCCTGCCTTTTCCCCTGGGCTGCCATGCCCATTGCTCATGCTCCCTTTCCGGGTGCCCGCAGTCTCAGAGATCTTGAAGAGTGGAATGCTGGAGACGGGCACGGCAGGCACTGGCTGGCTGAAGAGCCCTGGATTGGTGGCCCACTCTCTCAGTGCCTTCTGTAGGCGTCGGACATGGAGGGGCTTGGTGGCCATGCCCACGAGTGCCATGATCTCCAAGAACTCCTCCTCACCCGCCTCGCACAGTTGCTGCACATCATCCCCTCCCTGCTGGATGAAGGTCTCGTAGTAGGAAAGGAGATTGGCGCGCTGCAGGACTCGGTACAGCTGCAGCTCCCCCAATGTCCGAGGCAGTGCCATGGCTCGGGTAGTAGGCCTGAGAAGGAGGCGCACCAGAGAAAGAGGGGGGCAATCAGTGCAAGTCCGCCTGCTGGCTACCAACCCACACTCAATTGTCTTCTTCCTACCTGCTTTTCTTCTCCTTTTTCTTTTGAATGCTCTCTGCTCAGTGCCCAGGCAGACTATGAAAATCAGGCACTGCTCAGAGGCACAAATATGCCAGTGCCATCCCAGACTGGACAGAAGTACCCAAAGCCAGCCCAGTATCTGCATAAGTAGCTCTTAGCCTCATACTCAGCTTTCATCTTTCTGGCATGAGACAAGGAGACTTTGAGCACTGAGACTAGCCAGCACATCCCAGATGGCTAGACCTCTCTATCCTCCAAAACAAGGGCCTTATTTTCCATTCTAAACATCAGCAGACTCGCCATTACTCAGGGTGATATCTCACACAGAGGTAAATGTAGAGCCCCCGTTCTTCCCATAGTAGACATCTGGGGCCACTGCTGGCCAGCTTCGCTTTCTGGTGGCGTCCTCCCCGTGTGGCTGAGAGGGAGGGGTGTGGCCCCTTCCCTGCTTTTTCCCACTCTGCGAGCCTGGTGGACCCCTGTTCTGCTAAGCTATCCGCAGCTTTTCCCAGGGATTAGGTATTCTTAGCACACTCTTCCTCTTCGTCCCAGGACTTGCCCTCCCCTCCAGTGCCCCCAGTTGGCTCCTCTCCCAGCAGTGACCTTCCCCACCTACTAGGTAGGTAGGCCGGTACCTTCATCTCAGTGGGGAGGGGAGGAGTGCCTCAATTATTCTGCTCTGGGCCTGTTCTGCCCACACACACTCCTACCGTGGTAGCGTCTGTGGGCGAAAACTGCCGGGGGGGCTCCCGCCTACCTCTCCCTCATTTTCCACCCACATCTCAAGTGGAGTCGGGGAGCGGCTCAAAGCCTCTTGAAGGAGGGGCTGCACGCCGAAACTCCCCTCCCTATGTTGTAAATAAAGGCACAGAAATGGGAAGAAAAGCCTAAGGCAATCCCCTGCTTCTCTACAGACTCGCTGATGCTCTCTTGGCTGAAAGGCGCCGGCTTCTCCCGGATCCCGGTCCCCGTGCGCTCCGTGCCAACGACAGACTGAGCCAGCCGAGCGGCCCTCCCCCCGGCACTGTTGCCAGCTAGAGCTCCAGGGCTTCCCCTGGCGCTTGGGGGCCCCCACATTCTTTGAGAGGGCTCACATGCTAGGTCATGCCCACAGAGTAAACGGAAGATAGAGAATCAGGTAGTATTCTTTTACATCCCGGTTCATCAGATCCCTGCCTGCTCCCAGGGCCCCGTAATTTGAACTCACTCCGTTTTCCATCAGTCTCCACCCCCCACCCCCGTACCGCTTCCCCTCGTCCTCTCGGCGACCTCCGCCCTCCGGACCCCTTTCCCGAGTCCAGCTCCACCCATCTCCACTCCCCACCGATTCCTTTTGCCCACTAACTTGGGTTTGGACTGCGGGGTCCGGCGGCCGCAGTCCCCTCCGCCCGGCGGCTGGTCGGCTGTGGGGGAGGGCGCTCTGTGCATGGACGGCCTCAGACCACCGGGGCTGCCCCTCTCCGTGCCCGGCGTGCGGCGCCTGGTGCGCGCTGCGCTCTTCCCGGCGTGCGAGGCCGTGTCCGCCGCTGTCCGGGCTCCGTCCCTCCCTCCACGTCTCCTCTCTCAGAGCCTCCGCGACTCTGTCTGTGCCTCTGCCCCCCCACTCCCCGGCTGCGCTTGCCGCCTCTCCGCGCCTCCACCCCCACAGGACGCACGGGGAGCGGGGCCCCGGGAGGCGCTGGCTAGAGACAGAAAGGCGGAGACTGGAGGAGGGGGATGTGTGGAGCAAGAGGTGGGGGCGGGGACTTGGAGTCGGGGCGCCGAAGTGGGGACTGGGGTGACCGAGGCCGGGCTGGGGAAAGCGGGCTTGGGGACCCAGCGGGAGGAGCGAGGTTGCTCCGAGCTGCCCACGCCGGATGCACAGCCGGCCTTCTCCGCGCCCACGTACCCACGTGAGAGCCCAGCCGGCGACATTCCTCCGCCTCCCCCTTCAGTCCCCCTGCCATCCCTACCCGTCGGAGCGGAGTTTCACAACCACGCATAGGTACACGAAGACATGGAGAAGCGCATGGACGTGCATACGCGCCTAAACAACTACGCGGATGCCCGCTGCCCACACTCAGGCCTCGGGGTAGTGGACGTGTGAATGTTAGGAGTGAGCCGAGAAAAGTTGCAGGAGTCTTGGGGTGTGCGGCTCCTGTCGTGCGTGCCTCTAACTCTCATAGAGTGCATTTATGGCAGTTCTGTGAGCGTGGGGCTCTGCAGGAATCTCTTAGTTATCCCAGTGCTCTTCTCCAGCTCCAAAAGGAGTAATTTGAAGAGGCCGCTTTCGGAAACCCAGGCCTCCTCCATCCGTGCTTACAGTCCAAGCTGAAGTTTAGGGAACAAGAATGGGCAGGTTATGCTAGAAGCTGCCACTTATACGCGCGTTGATTAGACGCGTCAGGTTTTGTTAACGCATAGGTCAGGCAGGGATGGGAGGGGCACCCCGCCTTCGTCTACTCGTCGCACCCTATTTGCTGAGGATGGGAACCTGCTCCTGGGGAATTGTGTGTGGCAAAGCCGGGATATGAAGGATACCCCTTCTGGGGACGTCTCTTAGGTTATTTCGCCGGGGAGTGTAGTGGAAGATGGGAAGGAGGCCGGGAGCATGTAACTCGGCTATCGACAGAAGAATTGGTAGAAGGAGCTCCTTCAAGAAGCCTAGCCACACCTTCGCAACCCTCCACCCACTCCTCCCTTTTGTTTCTTCTAGCCCCATCTGGTTCCCATTACACTCCCGCCCACGGCTGGATGGGCTGAGGTTGGGGGGGCGGGCAGGCTGGGGCTCTGAGGGCCTGGCTCTGCGGCTCTAGGCCGTGAGGAAATGCAGTCGGAGGAAGCAGGGGCGGGGGTAGGCGGGAAGCGAACCCACGGTCCAGAGGCAAGGTTCCCTTCAGTCCGAAAGCTCAGCCCCGCCCACCATTCCGCACTTCTGAGTGGCCCGGCCAGGCAGGGCGTGGGCGGTGTGGGCGTGGACGGGTTTTACATTCTGGCCTGGCAAGGGGACCTTTGTGTTGTCTCCGGTAGGGGCAGGAGAAAAAGAGTGTATTACCGGGGGCTTGGGGGGATTTCAGGAGCTAAGATTCTTTTCTCCATTCCATTAAACCCCAAACCCAGTGGGAGGTGGTAGGAGCAAACTGAGTTCTCCCGCCATCCCCTATCCCGCGACTGGAGGGCACCGCTAGAGAGGCTCCCTCGGGGGCACTCCTGGACCCCCCCTTGTGTGCGAGCGCCCCCTCCTCCACTCCCCTCTGCTTAGATTGGAGCCCGGGTTGCCAGCCACTGGCCGCGGGTTTCCACGTGCCTCCTCCCTCCTGCTGCCCACGCTCCCCGTGACGCACATCCTCCGCCCACGCAGCCTCTGCTAGAGGCGCCCCCTCCCTCCCACCTGCCCTCTAGGGGCGGTGCTGAGCCCCTGGATCCGCAGGGCGATGCAAGACCGGGGAAGAGGGCGGAGCACGGAGTGAAGCAAAGGGGCAGTCACCAACCGGGAGCCGGCCGCCTGAGTCCTGGCCCAGGAAAGAGAACGAGAAAGGAGCCGATAATGGGGGCTCCACTCCTCGATTATGGGGCGCCAACGCGACCAGAGAGGGAGGGGGGAGGAAAAACTCGCGGACCTGGCCTGCCACCTCCTCTAGGGGACTCTGGAGGGGTCTGTTTGGGTGCGAACGTGTGTGTAAAACTCCTGAGCGTTTGTATCTTTGTTTCTCGGGGTTGTCGTGAGTTTCAAATAAGAGGACGTATATGAAAACTTTGTAAATTTTAAAATGCTAAGCAAATGTATGATATTGCCAGTTTGTGCCTCTATACCCTGAGATTATGTATTTAGATGTTTCTTTTCATCTACTTGTATATCTGTGACTCTGTCTCGGTTTATATGTGAGCCCCTATGTGTGGATTTAAAAATATATACATGAAAAATATCATTGACTTGTCAAGCCCCGCCAGAGGCCCAGAGCGCCCCCGCAGCCCGAGCTGCTGAGATGTCTGTTCTTCACTTCCCTCCCACTCCTACCACCCTCAACTCCCCTCCTACTCCCTTCCGTTAAGAACAAGGAATTTCCAGTCTTTAGCAAAAGGAGAGACACAGAGACAGCTGAGGCTATGAGAAACTGTAGGAAAACACATAAAGATAAGGGGCAGGGGGAGGGGCAGATGACAAAAAGGGAGTGAGGCAAATACAAAGATCTTCATTTCTTCTCTTTTTCGCCATGGGCTCCATTTTCTCCAGCGTGGCTCAGGACCACTTTCCTACTTGACTCACTTGTTCCCCCATCCGCACCTCAGAGGTCTCAAAGGCACTCAGAGCAGAGCTACGGGACTCCTTCCTATTTAATCAATTGATAAGTTGTCTATAAATAATTTGTTAATGATTGACTAATAACTAATTTATTGTATACACTGGTCTCTTCCAGGAAGGGAAACAGTATCTTCACAATTTTCCAAGAAAAGGGACAAAGGTTATGAAGAAAGTGGGTGAAAGAGGAGTGAAGAAATGGCCCACCAGAAGGATTATCATTCCCAGGCACGCGTAGGTTTTAACCCAGCAGAGTGCACTGTTCACTGCCTCCCATCCCCACAATTTTTCACCAGGCCAAATCCAGCTCACTCAGCAAGGTCTGGCTCAAAGGTCACCTTGGACTCTTTTTTTCCTCTAGGCAGCATTCCTCCCTCCCACCCCTCAGTGGCCTCATGGCTCTCTATACACATTTCAGTATAGTTGCTTATTTCACTCTCAGCCCAGGACCTCTCCAGGATGGATCTGTTATTTGGTGGGCCCTCTTCAATGCATGGGCTGATGATGCTATTTCCAGGCCTGAGCAACTTTGAAAGGGGCAGTTGACACAAATTTTACTCCACAGGGAGCTGAACCTGGGCAAAGCTGTTTAAGTGGAGACATTTGTTTTCTCGGTCTCCTTCCTTATTAGTTTCCAGTGAGTCTCACAAATCTGGCTCCTTGGCCTTTTAAAATGTCCACTATTCTGGTAAATTAATTCATGCCCAGGTGCTAAAGGTAGAAGGCTGAAATCTTTGCTATTAACAGAAAAATGTAAAGTAATGATACCTTTTTCCTATTTCAGTAACATGTTAGTATTATAGTCTGAGGAGTGTTGTCCTTCAATTTAGTCAGCTTACAAGAGAAGCTCATCCTTCAAAGAGACAAGCTGACTTTAAGGAGCTCATAGACTAGTAGAAGAAATAGACATATAAAATAATTACAGTATAGTGCAATAATAGGGGTACAAACAATGACAGAAGTATAGGAGGCAAATGATCTATTCTGCCTGGGGTGGTGAAAGACAGATTTAGACAGGCATCTAAAGGAGATAATGATGCAGCCTAGGATTTTGAAGTCTGAATAGATTTCCAGGAGGAAGGGATAGTCAAGTCAGAGCAGAATGTAAACTTACAGGGAGGTACAAAACAGGATGCTACATTTAAGAAACTGGAAATTGTTCATTATTGCTGGACGAAGGGTGGTGGTGCTTAAAAAGGAGCCCAAGGAGGTGTACAAGGCCATTTCATTAAGGATATTATAAACTAAGGCTTCTCAAACTATAGTAAAGGACCAATTTAAGATATTCCAATCTATTGTCCACTTTCTATAAAATCCACAAAAAGTGAGTTATTAAAAAAGCGAAATAAAATCCCCTTTTTATTGGATTCAGTAAATATAACAGTTCTCTGTCAAATTGCCATGAAAGTTTCTACAGCCTTACACTTAATTTCTGAAATTGTTTCATTGCAGAGTAACCAACTCTGAATAGCACTGCTGTAGTTGTTTCTTTACATCTATTTTAGATCATAGTAAAGACCCTGGACTATATATCACAGGAAATACTATGGGACTATAAAGACTTTGTAACACGGGAGTGACATGATCAGATCTGCATTTAGGAGTAGTGTGGAGGAAGGTTTTTATGGCTGCAAGAACAGCAGAGAGGCCAGCTTGGAGGAAACTTAAGTGGCCCAAGTGTGAGATGACAAAGTGCTGGACTAAATCACTGGCATGGGATGGAAAGAAGAGGACAGATTTCAAAAGATTCAAATCAATAAGACCCAATAATTGAGTGGCTAAGGGACTAGGGGAAGAGAAGAAGGGTTAGGGTGACTCTCAGACTTCTAGCTTGGGTGACAGAGTAAATGGAATGGAGTGCTTCTT